AATTAAATACAACATTGGAAAATCATCCATTCATGTTATATTCAATATAATGCAACACACCCATGCATGTGGTACCATTTTACCGCCCCATTAAATCTCGGGTCACGGATAACTCACCGTTCCATTATATCGCGGACACGGCTACCACCTCAACGTTCCATTAAATCGCGGACACGTATATTGGCCACCATGTTAATTCCACACAATGGGAATTAACAAATACAACATGATATGTAAAGTATGTAACACTCAGCATACTATTAACATCAAGAAAACATATCATGCAACATCAACAATATCAATCATAACAGGATATGGATAGTATGTAACCACTCAGCATACTATTAAACATCAACCAATCATATCAAGTTATATCATAATTCATGCTTGATAACATCATCTAAAAGCATGACAATAACATTCATGTAGTGTTGGTATCATAACATACAAACGTTATTCGATACAAGCATCAATCAACACTAGGAAATCAATAAACAGCATATTCAAAACATGTCAAACACTGCACATCAAAACAGGATCAATCCGTACATAACAATATCCATTTTGCATAACTCAAAGCAACACATCGATTGAAAACACAATTCCTTTCTACGTTAGTCAATTTCCAATCTTAAGGACAGCATTACTTCACTTAAGGTCTTATTTTTCAAATCATACACAACTCAGAATTTTCGTCTCAAAACATCCTATTTTATCAACAATTCTTTCATCAACAACAAGTTTATAAAATTGACCTTAAGTTACATATTACCCGTCCTTTAGGGAAATCCTAACAACATTGAGGTTATCCCTAGAATTACCTAAGGGAAACTCTCGATCATGCAAATATACTCCAAATCCACCATAGGAACCTAAAATCCTTAATTGATTCATAAAATTTGGGAACCTAAACCTTTTCTAACAAGGTTCAACCCTAAGGTTATTGATCCCTAAGAACATCTAAAAATTGGGGTTCTCCCTACGATTATCCAAAATCAACCGTACCTAAACCCATAAGCAAAAGTAAATCGAGTAGTAGCCCCCCTTACCTTATCAAATTGCAGCTTCGAACTCTTGAGCGATTGTCCGTCGTTCTTCAGAGCTCCAATCCCAAATATCTCCAAACACCTCACTAAAATACATAACAACCAAATTCACTTATAAACATAAACACTTTCTCCAATAATCACTTATTAAAATAAGCTCTTAAATCTACTTAATTCCTTATAATCATATAGAAAATTTCACTAGCTTTCCAACGCATCAAACGGCGCCTAAATCGGAGTTACGGTTCAAAAGTTATGGCCGAAACGATTTTTGGGAAAAACCTACCCGAGCATCACACAGAAGATCAACACGGGTGCCCGTGTTGTGCAACACGGCCCGTGTTGATGACTCTGCAACACCATATTTCACGTTTTTAAGCTTCCCAAAATCACCCCAACTCATTCCTAATCATCCCCAAACATCCTAAAACCATCAAAATCGAATTCCTATCATATAGCAATGATCTAAAGCATACAATAGGATCAATACCACATCAAAACCCAATCAATTCCATTCATGTTTCATCATCACAACAACCATGGCATCAAGAATCCATCATCCCTACAAATCCCTAACTCATATAGAATATATATCACAACTTATTCATAGTAAAAGAATGATCAACCCCTTATCTTGGATAATCTGCAGCTCCTGCAACTTCCTCGATCAATCTTCTCATTCTTCTCCTTTCTCTTCTTTACACGTTCTCTGAGTTCCAAAATCCCAAAATCTCAGTTTTACGTGAAAGTGAGCAAAAGTGACATATAAGTCCCAAATAACATTTTACTTCACTTGTACCCCCTCTTTTACCAACAACATCATAGCCCAATAATCCTTATTTTTTTCTACAATTATTTATAAAATAAATAATAATCCTTTTATTTTATATTAACCCAAATAAAATAATTTTATTGGTTTCAAATAAAATAACTCTTATTAAGATAATTCCAAATAAATAGAACTGGGGTGTTACATGAGGGGCAAAGAGATTGCATTGGTTAAAATGGTTTGGCTAGGAGCTGCAGGAGAAAGCATGACTTGGGAATTGGAGAGCAAGATGCGAGACTCCTATCCTAAATTGTTTGATTGAGGTAAATTTTCGAGGACGAAAATATTCTAAGTGGGGGAGAGTTGTAACGCCCGTAATTTAATTAATTATTTAATTAAATTATTTTTGGAATAACTGTGAAGAAGTGTTATTAAATTAGATTTATTTTATTAAGTGGAGAAATAATAATATATTTGAGGTATTATATTATTATGTGAAATAATGTTAGAAGCTAATATTATTTAATGTGGGTCTATATGGTGTGAGTGGAAGTAATAAGGGGGTGTAGGTTTTGAGCCCAATAAGGAATAATATAATAGTATTAGGTTATTTTATTATTTGTTGTTAGAATAGAAGGAAGAAGCAGTAAGAAGAGAAATACGGTTTTGAGGAGAACGTGAAGTTGTTGGATTTTGAAGGAAACGGAAAGAACAAAGATTTAACCCAGAAATTGTAGAGCGACCTTCGATCCAAGGTAAGGGTGGGGTTCTGGCTTTATAATTGGGTTCATGATGTTTGATATGTGGGGTTAGAGGATTGCTGTTTTTGTTATTGAATTGAATGATGTATGATGAATATTGATGAATTCTCGATGGATAAATGATGTTATGATGCTGTGTAATCGATGTAGTATTGTAAGTTAATGTTAAGTGATGAATTATCATGGTTATGATAAGGTTTTTAGGGCTGTAGTATGATTCCCGTAGTGAATTACAGTAGAAAACGCAGAAAATTATGCAGACTGTCGAATGATGTGTCGACCCCAAGCTGCATGTGTCGATACATGAAGGATATTCGACTCAGGATGAGTCGATGCATGCAGGGCTTGCATCGATACATGTTCGTTGTAAGACTCGGGATGAGTCGATGCATGCAGGGATGTGTCGATACATGTTAGTTGTAAGACTCAGGATGAGTCGATCGGTAAGGTGCATGTGTCAATACATGCTGTGATTTGAAGCAGGATGAGTCGATCCATGAGGAGGATGTGTCGACTCATAGTATACAGATGAAGCAGGATGTGTCGATCCATAGTGTTTCGTGTCGATACATAAGGTCTGATTTTTGATAGAATTGACTTCTAATTGCTGTAACTTGAGTTGTAGGATGCTGTTTGAGATGTCGTTCGAAGCGTTGATTAGCTAACGCGATGAACTTTATTCTAGAGGATTAAAATGATGGATAAGAAGTGTAATCCCAGTAACTAATTTAGAATTTAGAATTAATTCCCGTAGATGACCGTTATGCTGGATTTTGGACAGAATGATGAATTTTGAGATGTTAGAGGCTGCTGTTAGAATTATGACAGTAGAATTTAGTGACAATGATGATGTACAGTAGCAGAATAACAATATGACTTACTGTATTATTAATATGCAGCTGAGTTAATAGTGAGATGTAGTCATTAAAGTTGTGTTTGATGATTATGATGAACCGATGTCGTTTGATAAATAAACGATGTTTAATAAATTATTTTGAGATGTTAATGAGATGCTGTAATTGAGATGTTTTTGAGATGATTGAGATGTTGTTGTTTTCGAGATGATTAAGATGTTGTTGTTTGAGATGATTGAGATGTTGTTGTTTGAGATGATTGAGATGTTGTTGTTTTGAGATGTGTTTTGAGATGTTGTTAACTGAGTGTGTTATTACATTCATGTTGAGTCGCATACATTACATTTTTTTTGAGATGGAGCTTATGCTCGTTGAGATGGCATGGATTGGCAAATTTTGAGATGAAGGCTATGCCTTGTTGATGTCTATATTAATTGGCAGATTAGATTTTTGAGATGGGAGTTCTGCTTCAATGGTACCACATGCATTTACATAGTTTTGAGTCGCATCATATGAATGAATAATGAGATGTATTTGATGTTGATGAATGAGTATATATGTTGTAATTATTGTTGATTATGAGATGAGAAGTGGTGATATTATTGATCTAATTTAATATATTAATTATTATGCGCTTTATTATATTGTTAGATATCTCACCCCTTCTGTTTGAATGTTGCCCCTATGTTGGTAACGTGCAGATAATCGAGAGTGAAGGCCGTATACCTTTAATAAATCGAGTCGATGTCATTGCTCTAATATGTAACACTCGGGGGGATGAAAGCTTGCTGATTTTTGATTGCTGATTTTTAGTTGTTGAACTTTAAATTGTTTATTTACTAAATATGAGATGTTTCGAAGTTGCTGTTTTATTTAAAGATGTTATTGAAGAATTCCGCTGCGTAGTCGTTGAATTATTTTATTAAAGATGCTATATTGATGGTTCATCCGATGTTTTATTAAAAATGTTATATATCCATGATGAATGCAATGAATTTATTAGAAGAATTTGTGAATGAAATTTTATAACTCTGATATATTTTACATAATTTGCTTGGGGTAGAATTGGGGTATTACAAAAACCACTTTCCAAAACACAATCCACAAACACATCTTTGGACTATCTTTCGAAACAAAACTTTGTACGCGTTCTTATAGAAACGAGAACCATTACAAATAGATTTTTCAAAACATTTTCAAAGCCCACATCACAGACACATTGTCAAAACAAAAGCAAGTGATCTAGCGAGTAACTAAGAGCCCATGGAAAACCATGGATGAAAATTGTGCTAATACCTTCTCTTTTCATAATCTACCTCTGAACTCAAGAAAATATCTTTAAAGGTCTTTTTTGTGCTTTTTCACCTTTCCTTTTGGATAAAAGAAAAGTCGGTGGCGACTCTTGCTAAACCACAATATTTGCGAACACAAACGCAAAACACCCAAGTCAATTCTTCTACCGTATCACAGGGAGCTTCCAATACTAAGATAGTGTGTGTAGTTTCTTTGTTTTCGGGCTTTGACACTCATTATAACCCAAAAAAAAAAAAAAAAACTACAAAATTGAAAAATGTGGGAAACAGTTACGGAGTGCATAGGTAACCGGTAAGAATAGGAGCGTGCGTGCAATAGAATTTTTTCTCATCCTCTTGTTTTCTTTTTTACATTTCTTATTGCTCTGAACAACCGCTTTATTTCATTGTCTCTTCTTCCATCAAACCCCTCACACCATCATCATTTCTTCCTCATTTTCTCTCTCATCTTCCGTCTTCCAGATCGTTACTCAACCGCTGCCGCCTCATCACCGATTCGTAAGCCACTTTTTTTATTCCCTATTCTCTCTATAACTTCGCACGATCATCGCAGGCTTTTCGTTTCTTATCATCACGCGGTTTTTGGTATGAGTAACTCGATTCGATTACTTGATCAGTTTCTGATTTTCGATTATCTTTCTTCTTTGTTGTTGTTGTTTTGGTTCTGATGCATCATCTGCATCATCAATCAAGGTTTTCATCGCTTTTGTTACGTTTTGTGTTTTACTAACTCTCCGATTGATTGTTAGGTTTAGAGTTTTGGATTTCCCTGGAAATTCTGTTTTTTTTAATATTAATAATATTTTGATTATTATTATTATTTTCTGGATTTGTGTTTTTGTTTGTCTTAGCTTGTGTGAGAAAATTAGGTCAAGTTTCTGGTATCATTGTTATTTTTCAGGCTTTGGATTTGTATATTCCCTTTATATGAATGTTTTGTGTGCTTGTTTCTTCATAAAGGAATCTCATTTGGTGGTGATTTGAAGTTCTGTGAATCTCCCAATTTTGTATGGTTTGGCTATGTGATGGAAAGCACAGCACAGGAAGAAGTACTGATGTTTGTTTATAATACAGGAGATGCATAATGTCCAGTTTATGTAGTTCATACTTCATATACTAACTCTTCGTTAGAATTTCTTCTATTGACTTGTGTATGAAATGAAATGGTGAAAATATTGTTATGGTTTTTGATTTCATCTGAGTTCAAGATTTTTATTTATCTCTATACTTTTAATTGTCTATAAAAAGTTATAGTTTTTTACAGCAGGGTTTTTGGTATTTTTATTTATTAGATTTTCGTAGAATCAATTAGGTTTAGATTGTTTTTTTTTTATCATGCAGGTTTCTTGTTGCTGTTCTGTTGGTGTGTTGTACATCATCTGCATGCACTGGTGAGATGTGAATTAATTGGAAATTCTAAGTTCATTCCCTGGGTTACCCACCTTTTTAAATTATGTAATCTGATTAAAAAGTTTTAATAATTTGCACCTGCCTTTGGGTTTATACATTAAAAATTTATTATTGTTGTCATTTGCAAAATATGTTTTGCCTTCGCATTTGCGTTGTGCAGGTTATGTGAATGGGTGATCACTTCTTCATTTGGCCTATTCCATTACATTGTCTGAATTGCAGATGGTGTTGTTGGTTCTTTTGAATCTTAGTTTAAAGGGGTGACTATAGAACTCATAAGTGATGTTATTGGCATGTTCTATTTTCTCAGGATTTATTAGCTTGATGATATGCCGTGGTTATGGAGTGGCAAGCCCACTTTCATATAGGATGAAGAAAGAATACTGTACCAAAGAATCTCTGTTAATTGGAAGATTGTATAGGCCTTTTTAATCTGGAATGTGTGCTTTAGATCTTTGTTATCCAGTATCCATCTTCTGGGACTGGATGCTTGATTGACATGAAATGGCCTAGCAGTTATGTTGAAGATATTAGCCATAGATTTGTTGACTCTAGTAATGCAAGATGTTGATTTGGGTTGTTACAGGAGTTTTAAGGAGGGTCATGAACTTCACACATCTCATTGTTCTAGTTGGTGCACTGAGGTTCTAGGATATGGAGGTTCAAGGTTGGTAAACCTCAATAATATATGCCCTGTTACATGTAAATGCTCTAGTCAAAGTCATCCAGTTCTCCTAGTTTGGGATCTTCTTTGGAGATGGTGCTACTTAGTGGGGTTGGGTATAATGAGTTTAGCTCTATGTTGTACAATTTTGATATAGCACTCACAGTAGTCAAGTATGCACTATGGTTATGCAGACTTAAAATTTGAACCTTTAGTGCATACTCCCTCTGTCCCAAATTATAAGAGAAATTCACTTATTAGATTCATTGAATAATTAATGTATCTGGTACATTAATTATTCAATGAATCTAATAAGTGAATTTCTCTTATAATTTGGGACGGAGGGAGTACCATTGATGGTGACTGCCGTAGTACTTTGCATCCACTCCTAACATTGACCGGCCTTTATATTGGATTAGTTTCTGATTCTGCTAATAGTTGGTTCTCCAATAATTCAACAACCCATGGTTGGGATTTGCTTAGTGCTGAATGATGCTATATTTTGGATTTGAAGCATAGTTTGCTGGCATGGGAGATGCTTGATAAGCTTGAGCTGGTCATAATCTTCATTTATGATTTCTAAAGATTGTGGAATGTAGTGAAACTAGTGTCAATGTGTTGATAGTCTAACCAGATTGCAGGTCCTTCTTCCTCTTGCTTTGCCAATATATGAGGGGGATGCAAAATATCTCTCCTGCGTTCAAAGCATACACATCCTAATTTTAAATTATCCCGACTTACTCGGGGCAATGATTTGTCTTAAGAGGGCAAAAACTATTATGAAGAGCATTTATTAAACTTGGATATTGGTGACATGTTTTGATTGTTAATTTTCCGGTAAATGGAAAATTTCCACATGGAGAAAGCCATACTACTTATTTGAAGCTTTTCCATCCTTTTTGTGTAAAGCCACTATGCCACAGGATCATATCTTGAAAAATGAACATAAGTAAGTAGGAATGTATTTGCTAGAAAGAAAATATCATATACAAAACTATTTAACATTGAAATCTGTATAATTTGAAAGCACATTTTCTATCTTGATGTTTGATATATTTAGTGTATGGATTATAGAGAAATCTGAAACTGAAGTTAAAATTTAATATTAAGTGAAAAGCCTGTCAATCTGTATTATTTTCTTGTTTCCCATTTACAATAACTAATGGTTTGATAAAGCTTCATGTTTAAGTGAGTTCTCTATGTGTTATTTTGAGTTTTTCAAAATGCTCAAGACAGATTTTAGCTGGAAGTTACTTTTTATTGGCATATAATCAAATCTATAATACATGCACTGATTTCAATTTTTCCAAGCTTTTTATGAATATGTTTATTTGAATTATCCAGGTATATTAAGGGTAACAAACTCTGTATGCCTTCTCTGTTTTCTCAAATGAAGCTAAGTTTTGATTCTTTGGAATCTCCTGCTTATAACATAATGAGATGTTTTATTTTAACTTACTCTATATTAATGCTAGTATTTGATATACTATTGCACCAATGTAAGTTTTCTATTAATATTCCTCTTCACATTCTATCTAGTAGTAAACCTTTTGTTGCATAATCTGTTCTGTAGGCTTTTATCAATTCATTTACTACCTTTTCCTTTTCTGCCCAATATACAAGTCTTTATGAACGTCTTTATAAACGTCTTTATGAAATGAGAAATACTTCATTTTAGTTCTCAAAACAAATTTCACCGTCCTTCTCTTGCCATTCTTTTTATACCAAAAATGCATGAAATATTTGTATATTTTTTTACGGTCTCTGGGATTTACTTTCTTTATTTGTGGTTTTTTGGTCTTGACTTGTTTACTGATTAGAAGACAGATGGGAGTGTTTCCCCACTCTTTGCCCGTTGCCTCTGCATACTTGATTATCTTTTTCAAATGCAGGAAATGATTAGAAAATGCTAACACTTTCTAACACTTGCTAAATCTACCCCAGGTAATATCTGATGCATTGGTCATCCTATTTTCCAATTCCTCCTTTTCTATAAGTCAAATCTGAATTCTTGCTTCCATTAATAAAAATCGAGTGAGGATCCATCGTCTAATTAAATCTCAATAATGTCATTTCTTTCCTGTGTTCACTTTTCCCTGCTCTGTTTTCTTGCTTCAGACTAGGTGTTCTCTGTATCAGTGGATAGAGGCATGAGTAAATTGGCTTCAAGTGAGTGAACTTATTTGGGCTGTTGATTATTCATTATGATTTAGGAGACACGAGTGGCTAGTGTTTAGTGTCGATGGTCTCGTTCAATAGATTAGTTGTAAATTCCTATCATCCTCCACAAATAATTGCTGTTGTGATTCTCCTCTTTGATCAAGTTGTTGTGACTGTTATTTATGCTTCAATTTTCATGCATGCCTATTGGTGGCATTCTAACTCACCAAGCTTTTAACCTTCATTTTTCATGTACTTTTTAGCAGTGTCATATTGTCCTTGGAATGACAGCATTGACCTGTTGGCAGATTTAACACATCATCCAAATCTTAATACGCATCAAGCTCATATTATTAACAGTTACTTATTTAGTCCAAAGAAAATCAGTAGTATGTCTGGGTGTCAGTGTTTTTTACTAGATCCTTTGGCCCTATAAAGGGTTCAATAGAAAATGGTTAAACCTAATGAATGCGTTATGAAAAATTTAAGGAATTGTGGTAATGATATGGAAGTGGCAATAGTGGTTGTATTTTTTCTTATGTTGTAAGTGGAAAATGATAGTCTGGCTAGATGTAACTGCTGTAGTACTCTTTTCGTACTTAGGAAGATCAAGGGAAAACTTATCACACATCTTACACCATCTCTAGGCATTGAATTCTGCTGTACTTGTCAGTAGTTACACATATTGACATGCACATATTGACATGTTGCTACAGTTCATGATAGTAAGAACCACTAACTTTTACTTCTAAAATTTACCTTTTGGAATTTGTAACTTCTGGTCCAACTTTCTTTCCACATATGCATATGGTTTCTGCCGTCTTCTCTTATTTTCCTCTCTTTCTATATAAATATCTCTGATGACAGTTTCATCAATGCTTTACTCTTGCATATATACTACTTACTCATTGTGTTACATACAATATTTGGTTGTCAATGATGTTTTTGCATCCAGGCAGTGTTTATATTATGCATTGTCATTGAGTGGATTTGTATGAGAGATATGTGGATGTATTGGTATATATCAATATACCAATATGACAATGCAGGACTGACATGGACCAGTAGAGCATGTTGGAACCATATTGTTTTAGATGCAATTGAGTATTTAATAACAATTTTTTTTTCTCATGAGCTATGCTTGCGGTGAAGTTTTGGTCTTTTATAAACTTTTTTGTGATTACTAGCAATTTTACTTGATTCGTTTTGAATTAATTGTTTTTTAGTATTGAATTTATTCAAATGCTTTTTTGCTTTGTAGGTTGAATTAATTGTATATCTGACTCAATACTCTGTATCGACTCTTGAGTGTTGCAAGTGACAGTTATGGGGCATAGACACATATATAATGCATCATCACCAATGTTTGAGGGTGAAGCTGACCAGAATTGGAATCACATGCATACTGATCAACATCATGTGAACCATGGTAATGTTAAATCTGTATGCTTAAGTTCCACTTTGATTTTGTTTCATTAGTCGTTTTTTGTTGCAAAGAACTGCATTTCTTGCATCGAATCATGGCACTCATATTGAATGAACCTTCATTGCAGAGGGGACTAGCTCTTCAGAGAATGGTTCTTTTGTTTATCCTGTGGAAAATATATCTATAGATAATATTTATTTCCCCTCTCATTGGAACTCCAACACAAGATCAAATGGATATGCATCCTCAGGCCCCAGCATTGAAGTGCCTCCTCCTCCTCCACCACCACCTCTTCCTCAGCAATTGGACACACCAGGCACTTCTAACGATCATTTTATGCATACATCTAATGCTGGACCTTTCTTTGCAGTATCTGAAAATTATGTACACCCACCTCCGTCTTCTTCCAATTATGACAGACATGCATTTCATGTTGATAGTGGTTTTATTGATCTTACAATGGGAAGTGGACGGGGGCATCACAAGAGGAAGAGCCCTGGAATTCCTTCAGTTTACGAGAGAGGCAGTTCAAGTGGATATTTTAATGCTGGGAGCTCAACCGATCTTCCTACACCTCCAGAATCATGGCCAGAGAAACCAAATATGAATTCTCAATATATGCCCTGGGATCATGTTGCTATGACACCCACATTCAGAGGTGCTGGCCTCTCAATGAAGGGTGAGAGTTCTGTACGGAATGTAAGGAGCCGTTCTGCACTTGATTTGGAACCCAACCTGTCTAGGACCCATTTACCAGTTAACCATTCACTCAACTCGTACCTTACTGCCTCACCATTCGGCCATTGTAGCTTGGCAGATCTTTCAGCTCAGGTTACTACCCCTTTGGCAAGGGATTGGAGCCAAATGAATGTAACTCCTGCTAATGGAAGAGTGTTATTACCAGGTTAATTTGTAGTCTATAAATCTTAGAATTGAAACATTCCATTTTCCTTGCATGTATGCCTAAACAATCTTTTAAAATACAGATGCTAGTACTTCTGGTCTTGAGACAAGTCACTTCCCTGTTGGAAATACTGCTGCTGCTGCTAGTAATGCTCCTGTAGATGTTGGAAGCTTCCATCATGAATTTGGTACAAGCAGAAATCCTACTACTGCTCAAAGTTTTCAAAATTTGACTCAACCTGCTAGGGGAACTCGAAGTAATTACTCTCAGAGATCCACTCCAGCTTTCAGGGCTTCTTCAAACTTGCGCTTGGGACATGCGGCACCTTCAGATAATGGATTGCCTATGGTACCTGAAGGTTACTCTTCTAGACATCCAAGGCCGCTGACCACTGTTGGCTGGCGGAACAGTGACAGAAATGGAAGGTCTAGAATTTCGAGTGAAAGATATAGATCATTGGCCGATGACGCTGGTCTCCATGCTAGATTTTCCTCTGAGGTACCGGTTAGTATATCGGAGAACTCTAATTTTGTTTCAGTATTAAAGGAAGGATAATACTGTGTAGCATTTGACATTTAGAACATATCGCCATATAGTTAAACCTTAAATAGGGATGCTTGGTTTATTTGCAAAACTAGAGCAAATTACTTAGTTGAGTTAAGGGTTAAAGGAGTTAAGAGTTTTAAAAGGACAGTTTTAAGCTCTAATTTTTCACTGTATTTCCATCAGCAGCTGCAAAATTGTTCTTCCTGGCTTTCCTTGTACTGGCTCAATTTTTAGAAGGTTAGGAGTAGTAATAAACACAGGATTAAGACACAGTTTTAAAAGGACAGTTTTAAGCTCTTATTTTTCTCAGAATTCATCAGCAGTTGCAAAATTGTTCTTTCTGGCTTTCCTTCTACTGGCCCAATTTTTTATTATTTACTTTGGGTTTTCAGGGTTTCATGGTTGTTGAGCGTGCTTCACTGTATGGCTCGAGGAATATACTTGATCAGCACAGAGACATGAGAATGGACGTAGATAACATGAGCTATGAGGTTTGATTATTACTACCTATTATTGTTTCTTGTGTCACAATTAATTTTATTTTCTTTGAAATGTATTAAAATTTTTACTGATCTGTTTGGTTAGGAACTTCTTGCACTTGGGGAGAGGATTGGCCAGGTGAACACAGGATTGTCTGAGGATGTGCTTTCCAAGTGTTTGACAGAAACAATATATTGTTCATCTGACCAATGCCAGGATGAAGGAAGCTGTGTGATCTGTCTGGTATATTTTTCTTACATTCATAACGTTTTTTTTAGCTTCGGAAAACATTAACCATGTGCTTACCAGTTTTTATTGAAAATGACAGGAAGAGTACAAGAATATGGATGATGTCGGGACACTTAAAACTTGTGGACATGACTATCATGTGAGCTGCATTAAAAAGTGGTTATCTATGAAGAAACTATGTCCTATCTGCAAATCTTCTGTTTTGCCTGAGGATAAGAAGGATAAATAATTTAAACTTTAGTATTTATTAATCTCCTTTGTAAATATATTTAGAAATCCTTCAAAGCAGAGGAAACAGACTAGCTTTGGAAATGTCTTAACAAGAATGAATGCTACTTCATGTCAATTTGTTTGGCTTCAATGTCAATTTAGTGAAGCCTGAAAATTATTATGTGGATTTGAAGCAGTTCTGGATTGCTTCTATTTTTAAATAACAGTATCAATAGTTTTTTTATTGTGTAAATTGTGCATCCTCCTCTCCTCTTCAATTTTAGAGTGGTTGACCAAGTGAAATGTGAAACACTTTTAGCTTGTCTTGACTTGTCTCCGAGTTGCAAATGCAGTAGTGGATAGAGGTTTAGTTTACACATCAGTTCTGGAGCTAGGATGTGAGAGAATTTTATCTCGCAAAAGTATATCAAATTTCATGTGTTCGGTGCGTTAGTGGAGGTCATGATTGTGAGAGATACTAGGAGTGACTTAAGCCATAAGATCTTAGCGGTTACCAAAGCTATCCCCTAAGATACTTAAGTTGGATCCTAAATAGAGGTAAGCTTCTCATGTAAACCTAATATCAACTTTCTGACTTACTAAACTCGTGAGAGGATTTCTTATTCCACTCCACGATTTTCTTACGTACCACGCGGAATTTCATAAATGCTCTTGAATCTCATAAATGTCCTTTAAAATTGGAAGTATATTTTCGATGCACATTAGAATTTGGTAAATTATACATTGAAATTGGAATTTAATTTCTGGTTTTAACTCAGAGAAGTAATTATGATTTTGTGCTACACAGAAATTAGAAAAACATTATTGAATAACATCAATATTATAACCGGTGCAGAATTGGAAGTATATTTCTGATTTTGTTTTTACATTTTGAAGGGTGAAAGTATATTTGATATATTTTTGTAAAATATATGGTGCGAATCAGAAATGTATTTTCGATTTTCGAAGGTAATTTCGGAATTACGAAAGTCTTTCTTTTGAGCATGAAGTGGAATAAAAAATTTCCACCCGTGATATTGAGATTTCTTCTTCAAGTGTTAACCGTATTTTATAGGCTAAGTTAAGGATTTTTGGTTAATGGTTTGTGGATGATTTCAAATTTCTTTGTTTCAAACTTCCAATTTCATTTGGTTTGATTGTTTTTTAAAACTTGTGTCAATCTTTCAAAGATTTTTGGGGAATATTTTTTTTACTCTTATGTGTGCATCCCACCCGTTTGAAAATATGAAAATATCCTCCATGATTTTGGAGATTCATTGAGCCATCTTATTTTGAATAAAATATGGTTCTAAGATGTATCTCATTATGCTTATTTGGATATATCTGGAGATGCATTTCTGAAGTGTCTCCTAAAGTCTTTTAAAAGATATTAGAAGTGTGTTATTTCTAATGGATGTATTAAGAGATGCATCTTCAAAGTGTTTTCAAAGTCCTTTAAAAGATATTAGAGATGCATCTTTGGAAATTTTCATTCAGGACAACATCACTGTCTCATCATTGTAATTTCTTTAGGTCAAGTTATATTAAAGTAAAATAGATATTAAAATTAAATAAAAGTAAAAAGTCATACATTAATTCGAAAAGTCAAGACCATACGTAACATGTCTAAAAATACAAAAAAATTACATCCAAACATAAGCCATTGAATATGTCTAACTCCCTATCCCCTCTTCAGTCTATGTTGCATGATATTCTATAACCGACAATCATGTTCTCTATGACTGTCGATTGAGGACTGCCATCTTCAAAGAGTCCTACTTTTATGCCTCATCTACCCATCTCCATAACATGCTGAGACACTTTTGGTGTGGTCATCCCTAGCCTCGAGTACCTTCTAATTAATTAACTTATGTGGTCTTCTAAGAGTGTCTAGTCTCATGATAGGGCGTGACACTCTATAAAACGTGTTGGAACAAGTTTGATCCGTCAACTAATCATTGAAGTTTTGATGATAATAAGTCTATAGTATGAAGAATAATTTTGTACTCTAACAGTTTGTTAAAGTGTGCAGATTTTGATCATAGACTCTAAACTCTGAGCGTGCAAGTTGTGGACTCTGAATAAGTGAAGTTCTGGAGTCTAAACTAGCAACTCTGAACTCTGGCAAATCAAAGCACACTCTAAACCAACAAAGAAAGCAAATATTTACAACGAATAATCTGTTTCTACATATATCAAGTCATGTTTTTGTCCAGATTGACTATGATAACCCAAGATTATGAAGACTAGACGTTTCTCAAAGTACTGAAGACTTACTCTGATCAATCTTTACTTAATTTTATCAGAAGTCTTTGACTCAAGTGGTTAGAAGTGAAGAAAGATAGTAGCTTCAGACTCTGATCAAGCTTCACTATATTCTATCTGTTGTATCCCAAAATTTGTCCTATTGATCATACTTTTATCTAGATTAGGCTTTGCATTTTATATGCATCATTTTCACTAGACCATCTGCGTAAAATTCATTCATTCAATAAAGCATAGAATCAAGGGGTTTTCTTTAAATCAAGGTTTTCTATAAGTTTCTTTCACTCAAGGTTGAAGCGAAGGTTTGGGCCCGTATCATCGTGAGTATTCATCTTTGACAAGACTCATCAAGCTTCAAGAATGCTATGAGTTAAGTTTTGGCTTCCCTCTACATCTTAAGTTACCTCTTCAGGCAAGGTTAAGAGAATCGGGTTTTCTAGTCATGTTGTTTGAACTTTTAAAACATCTCAATGGAGGTTCATTAGACTTATGGACATGTTATTTTCTTTACTTCCAAGCCTTACCATTCGGCCTTAAGAGATGAGCTTGTAGTTTCTTTGATCAAGACGATTTTGTTGCTTGTAATGCAAGTTTTTGTTACTTGAGATTTGATGATAGGGTTTGTTTTGAGGAAATGAAGAGATTTGGATACATTGTTTGGATAGTATTCATTCAAGTTGTCTAAAGGTGTTTAATGCTTGGCATGGTTCGAATTCAACTTAGTAAGACATTTCATCATTGACCATCAAAATTCACTCAAAATCCGAATTTATGCTCATCCAAGTTCTATTAAACTACATTCATAATTCTTTCATAACTTCTAACACTTTCCACCATAATTCATTCAAGATTTTGTTATTCTAAATATTTTTCATTCATGCTCAAGAATTCAAAACTATACAAGTTTCATTGCTATTTAAATTTACAAGTATAAACTTGAATACACTTGTTTCTAGTTCTACTACCAATTACAAGTCATACAAGTTCAACTACAAAATTAAAACACAACTACAATCTTCTTATTTTGTTCTATGCAAAGAAAAATAATTCTTCAATCTTCTTGCTCCATCTTCAAGTGTCGTGTTCCTACATTTTTCAAGTACGCCTCTCTGATCTTGCGAGCTCATCCATCACATGAAACAAAAAAAAGAGTTAGTTAGCAAAACAATCAAATGTGAACAAGAAAATTTGCAAAGTATTTTAATTCATCATTATGGATTTTGTGCAAGGAATCATAAAATAAAGGGTTATTTCTCACTAAAGCCTCATAAATCAGTTTTCAAATCATGGGCCAAATTCTCTACTGTAAATTACAAAAGTTTGTTTTTGGTTCACAATAGAAGGGAAAAGTCACTACAGTGAAACAAAAATGCAAACAAAATTTCATTACAATCCAACCCAAAAAGCAAAATAAAATTGCAAATCCCAAACAACCAAAGCCTCATACAATGTTGTTCTATCATTGGCCTAGGAACATTTCTATTGCAAGTCACAAAATAAGTATGATTCACAATGAGAAAAGGCAAATTAAATCAGAATTTCAAATTCAGCATCATGTTTTCATGCAAAAGACTAAAGGCCTCATGTTGTTTCATTTCAATAAAAAAATTAGAATTGTAAAATCAAATCACAGGCCTAGACTTCTGCTGCAAATCTCAAACAGCTATTAAAAAAAATCTTGTTTAGTTCACAACAAAAGCACAAACATTGTACTGCACAAGTACAAAATCAATAAGTCAGTAAGCAATAAGTACAAGTTCAAAAAGAGGCATCACAAAAAGTCAGAAGCCAGCAAGCAACAGAATCACAAAGCCAACATAGCATAGCAAAAGTACATTTACAATATCAGAAAAATAAAATATCAGAAGCGACAAGTCGTATACGAGTGGCTCAAGGTTGTTCTCTCCCATCAAAGTCAAACCCTTAAAAATGATTCATGGAGAAAGCAAAGAGAGTTCATAATATAAAAGGAACATAGTTCATACAAGATACAGAAGAGAGAGTCTTCGAACCACCCCAACACAAAAAACCTCTGTTCAATATTTTCTGTAACAATTCATACAAAAAAAATATACAACACAACCACAGAACCAGAAAAACAATCAAAGTCCAACCCTTCAAAGAAAAATTGTTTTCAGCATACAGAAGCAGGGCCACGAAACCACATAAAAACCCTAGGTTTAAAACTGATCGTACCTGATCAGAATGGACCGTCACAGCTTCACCGAGCAGAGTTTGAGTGAGGTGGGGGTAGGGGGGGTGGGGTACCTGCAAGACACTCTGATGCCAAAGTAAGTTGCGGAATGAGAAAGAAAGCATGAGAGTAAGAAAGTGTTGAATACCTGACCCTCTCGAAAAAGAGGGTATTTATAGCCCCCAACGCTAGGCCAAGGTCTCCACATTGGGATGGCCAAGCAGGCTCAACATAGAGACTGCCAGGTCCTACGTGAGTAGTGGGGACCCGCACATGATCCCCTACTTGGATGACGTCCTCTGCAAGGTCAGGAGGATATGGATGCAATCTTTCCCGGGCCACGAAGACTCCGTGATATCCGGAGATATGGGTAGTCAGCCCTACAAGCTAGTCGGGGTGTCCTCGACGCCTTCATGGTCAGAGTTGACTGTCCTTAGTCTACTCGGGATGTTGTCCCCGTGTGGTGAGGTTGTCTCCTCGTGGGGAAGAGGTGGTAGTTGCCCGCCGCATTCGAGGGTAGAATCGGTCAGTGGTGCAGGTTGACACACTTGGATTGGGCC